CAGCCACTCAATCTTTCCATTAAATCTCGCAATGACGTCATCAACATCCAAGATGGCGAAGTATTTCCGGTTTTGGATCTAAGCAACAAATCGCTAAACAGCAATTCAAGTGATAACAACAACAACAACTGCAACGTCATTCACACTAACAACAACAACAACATCCACAGCTTAAACATGAACAGTGAAACTTCCAATGAGCCAAATATTTTAATTATAGTAACAAACAACAACAACAACGACAACATCAACAACAACAACAACAATGTTAACAACAACAACAACAATTTATTGCAGTTATCATCACCGATATCTAATGATGACAATAATAGCAGTAGCATCAACAACAACAACCTTCCAACATGCAATGAAAATAATACACAGCTTATGGAAATCCCAGATATAAACAACAACAATGACGACAATGACGTCATTAAAAGTGTAAACAACAACAACATTATGAACAATGTAAACAACAACGACGGCACAAACAAGAACATCAGTTCGATTCTTCTGACGCCAACATCTCCGCAAACTCATAGCAGCAGCAGCAGCAACAACAACAACAGCAGCAACAACAACAACAACAACAACATTGTAAGCAGCAAAAGCAACAGTGACATCATGGACATAGATGACGTCACCAACAACAAACGAACAGACCAGGAGAGCATAGAACAAAAACTCCATCAATGTCGAAAGGTGATTTAGTTTCTTTCTGTTCATATTTTACTATCTTGTCTATTTGTGTGTGTGTGTGCATGTGTGTGTGTGTTTGTTTGTGTGTGTGTGTGTGTATAATGATAAAAATATAACAATTGTTATATTGATTAATTTAAAAATTTCATCCCCAATGATTGTTAATATCAGTTGTTGTCGTTATTATTAAACAGAGGATGTTGAAGAAATCGCCGAGAACTCGTCAAAGTACTAGCGAATTCAAATCAGAGACGCCATCTTCCTCCTTAACATCATCATCATCATCATCACCATCATCATCGCCATCATCATCATCATCATCTTCACCATCTTCGTCGTCGTCGTCATCAGCAAGGTCGTCGCTTTTTCATTGCGATCTATGCGAAAAGGTCTTCAAGAAGCAGAGTTCTCTAACAAGGCACAAATACGAACACTCTGGTGAGTATGATTAGTATTTTAAGCTCTAGGATTAGGGTGTGTGTGGTGATGATGAGGAAATCATCATCATTATTCTCATCTTTCTTTTCATCCTCATCATCTGGCCATCGTCATCATGGTCTTTATTATCTCCATCATCATCATAATCCTCTTTTCTCATCATCATCAAAATTACCATCATCACTACCACCATCATCATCGTCTGATCACAACTTTCCCGCCAAAAAACACCAACCAACATCACTACCACCACCATCATCATCATTATCATCATCATCGTCTGATCACAACTTTCCCGCCAAAAAACACCAACCAATCAGGCAAGCGTCCATTTACGTGTCACGTGTGCTCGAAGGCCTTCAAACACAAGCACCACCTGGTGGAACATTCCAGACTGCACAGTGGAGAAAAACCTTTCCGATGCACCGTCTGCTGCAAGTCTTTCAGTCACTCCGGATCATTCAGTCAGCATACTAATAATAGGCACAAGGGCTGCCTTGGAGATTAATTGGATTGGTTGGATGGTTGGTTGGTTGTTTGGTTGGATGGTTGGATGGATGGTTGGATGGATGGTTGGATGGATGGTTGGTTGGTTGGTCGATCAGTTGGTTGGTTGGTTGGTGATTGGATGTATAATCGTTTTGTTATTTAGCTTGTTGATAGGTTGATTGTTTAGTTAGTTAGTTATCTGGTTGGCTGATTGGTTTAATAGTCGGACGGTTGATGAACGACAGATTTGCAGTTGAATCATTTTTATTAATGTTGAAATGTTGAAAGCACTTTGAATTTAAAAACTATAATTTTGCGGGTTTTATGAAACAATTAAAAACTAATTCTACTAGATAAAAAATTTTCTATTTTACCGAACTCTTACTTAAGGAAATTCTGCCAGAAATATGCATTTAACGAACATTGTATATAAACACTGTGTAATATATAACATGTTGTATTTTGTTCATGTTTATAAAATTGTGTATGTACGAGTATGTATGCGCGTGTATGTGTACGTATGTATGTGTGTGTGTGGTGTGGGTGTGTGTATGTATGTAGGCATGTGTGTGTATGTACATAAGCATGTATAGATTGTATGTTTCATTAACAAAAAGAGTATTACTTAATTGTATAACATTAGTATATGTAGTTTGTCCAAATTGTTTATGTTAGTATTGATGTTTTTCCTATACAAAGTAACACAAAGTAGCATAACTAGAGTTATACAAAGTACATGTATAAGTATGTATTTTTTAAACAACGCATGTTTTACTGCTAAAATATGGATGAGAAAAATTTTTGATGTATCAAGGTATTATTGTTATTAAAGAGAGTATTATTTTTGTTAAATATACAGTGTATGTGTATGTACGCTTGCATGCATGCATGTGTGTGTGTATGTGTGTTTATGTATGTGTATGTATGTCTGTCTGTATGTTTGTTTGTCCGTGTGAATGTTCATATGTGTATGTAAATAAATGTACGCTTAGATACAAGTTAAGCATAAAAACGTATTGTTATAAACGCGGGAATGATAGAGTAGCGTTATATTTGTTATTTTAATTATCATCTACCTATGCTATATTTGTAATCTTTGGGAAGGTTGTAAAATTGTGTCGGCTATGAATAGCCTGTCTAAGGCAGTTGAGGTTCGAGGTGAAGTTGTTAATGGGATTTATTTAGTTATATGGATTAATTTATTGTTTCTGTTATTGCTGGTATTCAAATAGACGTTCAAGTTAGCTTGCAATGGGAAGAAGTTGTGTTCATTTATCTGAAATCTTGATAAACGAACCCTTGGAAGATAAAACATTGGTGTTTGAAATATAGGGATTATTGAAGCTGTAACATTGGTGTTGGTAGTACGAAGTCAAGGAGTTACAACGGTATTGTTTTGAATTTTTGTGAATATTTGTGTTTATTATATACAACTTGTATCAAAAACATTGTATGTGTGTTTTTTTTCTTCAATTTTTCTTTTTATAACTATTTATTCGTTAAGCAGTTTTCCTAAGATCTCATCGTGTATTTATACGAAACAAAGTACCAAAAACATTTGCGTTTTTGGTTCTTTTGTTTACTTTTATTCATTTTTGCACTTTAATTTATAATATTCATTGGTTTTTCAGTGTTATGTTATTGATTTGATGCCCGTGTGTGTGTGTGTGTGTGTGTGTGTGTTCGTAAATTAGATTCGATGAATGAATGAAAGAACGACTAACTGAATGAATAGATGGTTTAACGGGTGAATGAATGAATGAATTGATCCAAGAGTCATCATGTGAAAAATTGAGCATGTGAATGCTTTTTATTTTAATTTAATTATTTCAATTTAATTTAATTAATTTTTTTATTTTTCGGTGTTTCTTCATTTCTTCATGACAATCTTTACCGCAAAAGTATTACAAACAAACGAACGATCGAACGTGTTCACGCTATGAACCAAACTTTAAACAACATCGCGTTCTTACTTTTTATGTTAACAATTTTTGTTGAAACATTTTTTTTCAATAAAACTTCAGTAAATAAACTAAAGAAAAAAAATACAATGAATAATAATAAATTTTTTTTCTCAATAAACAGTTTTTTCTTGTTTAACATATTTGCTGGATTGTTTAAGCATAACGGGAAAAATTTATATAAAATAGTATTTAAAAACCTGTGTATATATGAAATACTATTTTCAAGTATTTATTTACTAGCTCATTCTTTCATTTATTCGTTTATTCATTCATTCATTAATTCATTCATTCATTTTTAAAATGCTGAAATTGACAATATTCTATTTTTATTACCAAAGTTGCTTAGACGGGAGGGGAACTTTTAAATAGGATGACTTATCTCATGTATTACTTTTATTTTTCATTCTTACTTTCTCTCTCACACACACTCACAAACACACACACACATACACGCACGCATACACATTCACAGGCACATAAACACACACGCACGCACACGCACCGACACACAAATACAGATCAACATTTACAATGCAATAAACCTTTTGAATGTTTTTTATTATTATGTAATGATACTAAGCTTGTAAGCTTGTTAGGTGCTAATGATAAGTCGTTTATTCATGCCTATATTATTATTATTATATTATTATATTAATTAATAATATTAATATTATTATTATTATTACTATCATAAGTTTTTGTTTTTATTATTGTAATTTTTTATCAAAAATTCGAAAAAAAAAAAGTAAACCAAATGGAAAAGTGTCTTATTAAGAAGTGGCTTGTAATCATAATCGTTCCTTCGTCATCATAAACAGCGCTAACATCATCATCATCACTAACATATCATCATCCTCAATATCATCATCAATATCATCATAAATATCATCACCATCAATATTATCACCATCATCACCACCATCATCATCATCAATATCATCATTATCATCATCGTCATCATCATCACAGATGATGATGATGACGATGATGAGTAATAATTCTTATTGATCATCATCAATATCACCATCATCGTCATCATCATCATCATCAATATCATCATCATCATCATTTTATTAATAAATTATCTTCGTCCCCTATTACGTAATTATCATAACCAATCATCACAATTGTTAACTTATTATTATTTATTTATTTATTATTAATATAAAAATATAATCTGGAAAAAGCTGATTTTATTATCATCATTATTATATTATCATCGTATGAACAAACAACGAACGAACGAACGAACGATTATTATTATTCTCATAAATGCACAATCATAATGATCAACTCGCTAGAAAACTTATCAAACATAAGAAGAATCATAAAAATATAGTAACCATAGTATTATAACGTGACATAATTAATCAAATAATTAATTAGATTAATTATTGTTTAGTAATAATTATCGGTGTTATAATATTAACGACAATTGCGTAATAAGTTAATAATATTTCAAAAATTTGATAATTTTAATTAGTTAATTTAATTGACGAATTCATTTATTCTTCCTCCTCTTCCTCATCTTCTTCCTCTTCTTCAGCTTCCTTTTCCGGTTCCTTCTCCTCCTCTCCTTCCTTGTGTTGTTTCGGCTGACTCCAATCTGGCTTTTTGTCCTGTGTGTGTGTGTGTGTGTTTGGTTGGTTGGTTAGTTGGATGGTTGGTTGTTTGGTTGGATGGTTAGATGGTTGGTTGGTTGGCTGGTTGACTGAATGGTTGGATAGTTGGTTGGTTGGTTGATTAGTTGGATGGTTGGTTGGCTGGCTGGCTGGTTGTTTGGATGGTTGGTTAGGCGGTTGGCTGGTTGGTTGGTTGTTTGAAAAGTTAGTTGACTGGTTGGTTGATTGGTTAAAAACAACAATAATATCAACAACAATGTCAACATCAAGAACAATATCAACAATATTAACAACAACGTCAACAACGTCAACAACAACATCAACAACAACGTCAACAACAACAACAACCTTCTCTTCGTCTTTCGTTTCGACGGCAAACTTAGATTGGCCGGTTGATTTCAACGTCGCAGTAAGCATCTGCTTCTTCTTCGGTTTATCGAGATCGAATTTCGTGCTGGTGTGAATTTCGTTTTCATTCATTCATTCATTCATTCGTTGGTTCGTTGGTTCGTTCGTTCATTCATTCATTCATTCATTCATTCATTCATTCATTCATTCATTCATTCATTCATTCATTCATTCATTCATTCATTCAGTCATTGATTGATTGATTGATTGATTCATTCATTCATTCATTCATTCATCCATCTTACTGGGCTTTGGCAACTTTCTTCAGCATGGGTTTCGAACTTTTTGCATTGTTAAACGTTGAATATGTAATAAAATTTTAAAAAAATTAGACAAATAAACAAATATTTTATTAAATCTGAATAAATAAATAAATAAATAAATGTATAAATTATTCATAATTATATTAGTAAACAAGTAACAACAACAACAAAATCATCGTTAACAACAACATGATCAACAACAACATCAACAGCAACATCAACATCAACAACAACAACATCAACAACAACATCAACAACAACATCATCAACAACATCATCATCAACATCATCATCAACAACAACAACAACATCAACAACATCATCATCAACATCATCAACAACAACAACAACAACAACATCCTCATCAACAACAACAACAACATCAACAACAACAACACTAACAATTTTCCTTTGATATCATTTACTTTGATATTCAGCTCGTTGATCTAATTGTTTGTTGTTGAAAAAAAAATAGAAAAAATTATGGTTGGCGAGTACTATGAAAATTCTATGAAAAGGGTCAGACCAAATAAAATTAATTGACGATAGCTTAAAATATTTTAAAAAAACCAGTGGGAAAATTTCAAATAATAACCCAAATAATAATAATTAAATGACGATAGCTTGAAATATTAAAAAAAAACCAGTGGGAAAATTTCAAATAATAACCCAAATAATAATAATAATTAAAATAATAATAATAATATTAATAATAATAATTTACTTCTTCCGTCTGTCTGCCAAGCCTGCACTCCCAATCATACTTCTCTTCCTCAAGCCTGGCGACAATGGCGTGTAGTTCTTTGACTTTTTGTTCGAGGGCCTCTGTGTGGTTGTGGTGGTCGTGGAGGAGATGAAGTGGTTGTGGTGATGATGGAGTGATTGCAGTGGTGATGAGGTGGCTGTGGTGGTGACGATGATGATGTAGTTGTGGTGGTGATGAGGTGATTGTGGTGGTAAAACGATGATGGTGATGATGATGATGAGAAAGAAGAGGAAAAAAATTTGAGGGCAATAAGGAGGATGGCGATTGTGCTCCCTATTAGTGATGATAATGATTCGATGATAAAAAAGATGATGGTGGTAGCTCTAATAGTAATGATGGTGGTGATGATGGTGGTGGTGATAAAGATGACGTCATCATCACCGACGTTGATTGAGACCAGCAAGTTCCAGCTTGGGAACCCTGGACTCGACCGCCTTCTTCTTCTCTTCCGCTTCCTTCTCCTGCTGCTTCTTCAACTCCTCGGCAGCTTTTTGCATGATCAGTTGCTGTTTCAATGATGATTATGACGATAATGATGAAATGATGGTAATTATGATGACGATGATGATGACGACGATGATGAAGGTGATGATGGTAACAATGGTTAAGATGATGTATGTTTTGTTTACTATAGAATTCTACCAAATTTGACATTGTGTATTTAAACTTCCAAATAAGGCTGGAGCCCATGCCAAATTTCGGTACAGCTCTAGTTTACAATAACACGGCTTGAACAACAACACAACACAACTACTTCAACAACAACTATAATAACAACTCCAACAAAAACAACAACACAACAACTTCAACAACAACACAACAACTTCAACAACACCACAACAAAAACACGGCAACAAAAACAACAAAACGAACCTTAAGCAACTTTTTCTTCTCAGGAGTCAAACTGATCCCCTTCTTTTTCTTGGCTTGTTTCTAAAAACAGAAAAAAAAACTTGATTACGTCATCAAAGTCATAATGACATCATCATCACTATCATCATCATCAACAATAACGACATCATTATCATAACTCGTCAGCGACATAACTTATAAATATCCATCATCATTTTCATTATAATCAAATCAATCATAATCATTCTAATATTCTGATCGCAGTCTTCATCATCGTCGTCATTATCATCCTCTTTTTCTTCATCATCATCGTCGTCGTCTTCATCATCGTTATCACTCATCTTTATAAGAACGTAAAAAAAAGAGCAAAACACGCCATGTTTATTGTTTGGGAGTATAAGTTTGATTCTTTCATCGCCAGCTATGCCAAGCAGCTCAAACTTAAAACGCTTTCAAAACGCAACGAATACTCCCTTTCTCTCTCTCTGTTCCTTTCCCTCTTTCTTTCCCTTTCTCTCTCTCCCTCTCTTTCTTTCTCTCTTTCTCCATTTCTCTTTTCCAATATTTTCTGATTTTTTGGAAATTTTTTCCTAGTAAAAATTGTTTTTGAAAAATAAATCGAAAAAAAAGTGAAACTCACGGCAGGAGGCCTGCGAAAAAAAAATATTTTAAAAATGAATTTTAATTATTATTTATCAAAAAATTATTAATTTATTTATTCATTTATTATACATTAAAAATTATATCTAAAAATTAATTACGCTAGCAAATTTAAAGATATTTTTGAGACATGTTACTGATATCTTTTTTAAAATAATTACTTTTATCAGTTTTTTCATCTTTATGATTATTATTATTATTATTATTATTATAATTATAATTATTATTATTATTAATAGATTAAATAGGATTTTATAATTATTTCATTATTAATATTTGGTATTTGGAGTTAGAAAATAAAAGGATGTTCCCATTAATAAAAATTCTCTCTTAATTAATTTAAAAATATTTATTAGCCAAACGCTAACAAATGGCGCGTGTAGATTAAGTTAAAAAACACACCATACGCATACTACGTAAGTTAGGCTGGAACGACTTTGCATTTGAACACGCTCACTGCAACAACAAAAAGACCAGACACCTTAGCCGTTATGCCCTCTGGCTCCATATAGTAACACTACAATGCTATATAATATAATGCTATGATATTTTTTTTATTTGTCAATAAAATTTATGTTGTTTTTTTTATTTTTCTTCTTTTTGTGTGTAAACCAGTATGTTAAATAAATTTTTTTGTCATTAAAATTGACAAAATTACCAGAATACTCAAGCTCTCAAAAACTCAAAAAACCACATATTTGCGCAAGCAAGTAACTTAAATTAAAATATTCAAATATCGAAATACTCCAAACGCATTGAAAAATAGTAGTTACACCGTACATACCAACAACCACAACTCACATGTTTAGTATCTGATGTAGAGAAGGATTTTCTGGAAACTGAAAATTGTAATAATAATTGTAATTGTAGTAATTATTATTAATTAATTATTTTTAATAATAATTAAAAATTAATTGAAATAATTAAAAGTTTATTTACAAATTAAATAAATTAAACTCCAAAATGAGAAAAACGGAAAGGGTTCACACGCCGCACGAGCAAGACACACACACACACATCACACTGCACACACACACACCACACTACACACACACTCGCACACACACACGCACGCACGCATTTAAGCAACCAGATAATTCTACAAAGTTTGACAACAGTTTATAAAATACATCAACTGAATCAAATAAATCACTTTTTTCAGATAATTATGGTCGGCATATAATTTTGTAGCTCTATGATAATAAACTCAGATATCTATTT